GTTGTATTCTTCCCTTAAAGTTAAATAAAAATCCTACAAAATGATACCTTTAGCGTTTTTGTTATTTATTTCCCCTTGGAGAAATGACCTATTTTGTGCGGCCAAATTCTAAATGAAACAGACTTTAAAATGAGGTGTTCGTGGATTTTCCTATGTTTCGAGAGGTGCATCGATTAGCTTGGGACCGAAGAGAGTACCAGAACTGAGCCCGAAGAGAGTACCAGAACTGAGCCAAAAAGTTGAGCACGTTTCTTCGGGATCTTCTAGTCTTAGAGTTACCTCTATGCTATGGCTTATATCATGTAATATAGGCTGTCTTGCAATGAGCACTCATACATAGTATTTCCAGTGAAAACTAGATGTATAAGTGCTCATTGCAAGACAGCCTATATTACATGATATAAGCCATAGTCTGTACGGGGTAGTGGACCAGGATTGAAATCTAGCACTAAATAAATAATTACGCTCAGGCATTGCATTCAATTGAGTTGACGTTTTCAGCTTAGCTAGAGCTACAATTTGTAGAATGAAAATAGTCAATATTCTGGCCGCAAATAGGGTGCAGCAATACATTTTTTTTTGTATTTCGCTAGCTAGAGGTTTGCTGTCTTTGGTAAAGTTGTAGAATGTAACATTTTATGAAAGGTTGCCCAATACATAAAAGTTATACATTGTATTCTTCGCTGATTGATATTGATGAATTCAATCTTTTCAAAGCAATACTATTATTTTTAGAGGTAGATACGGTTTGTAAAATCGTGATGTCCTCCGTCGATAATTGGTGGTCCTCTGTGATGATGTGTTCTGCAACCTTTGATTTGAAATCATATGTTAGGCCTTTTTTCTCTTGCTTTTTGGCCTTATTAGCTTCCGCTATATCAAGCATAACTTTTCAAAAGGACGTATGTAACATTGGATAGGAAATTAGAAACATTGGATAGCAATGTCTATATGAGATTATTAAATGCTATTTATTAGTTAATGCTATTTCTTTAAATCTGTTTGTGCTATTAGTTGGATAAAGGGATTGCGTTTAAGAGAATTGTGAAAAATTTCGAGTTTTGCAAACACGGACAATACTTTTGATAAAACAAAATCATACACCTTTTACTTGTGTACTACTCACATACACCCTGATTGATTCGTCGGTATCACACCTTGATTGTTACATACACCCTGCATGATTCGTCTATTTGACAGAAGGGTTTTCACATACGTCAAATCAGATACACCGGTTTTTGTTTTGCAGTGAAGATACGTCGGCAGCTAGAAAAGCATTGAGGAATTGTCTTGGTTGATTTATTTACATAACTACCCAGAGTTGTAAAATAATCGATGTTAAAAGCGGAGATGAGAGGGTCACCTGTCTGTTGTCAGATGTTATACGTTTTGTGTTTTTCGTATTAAGAAAGCGCTGGTCAGATTGGTATGTGAAGTTCAATATTGAAGTCAAGATTAAAGTGCAATTTTATTAGAATACTTTTGAAATAATAAACATGTTGCTCCCGAAAATACAAAAACAAACATACAAACTTGACGCATTTGCTGATTGATAGTGGTTGCTTTGTTTTTTCCACATACGACGCTTCACTGTGAGCGTATCTGCAGTTTTTGTGTTATCATCAAATTTTAACAGTTAAGTCATGTTGACAATAATAGGGTGTATCAACACCATTTTAAAAACAATGAAAAAAGTCACATAGGGCGTTCATAAAATATATTTTCCATAATGTATTAGAATTTCAAACCTTGTTTTTCATTAACTCGTAGGAAAAGCATGTATTTTATATTCGGTTAGATGCAAAATATCGATTTGTTTATTTTTGCGACTTACGTCCTTTTGAAAAGTTATGCTTGATATGTCCTTTAAATCTAGTTGCTAAAGTTCTCTTGGTTTGTCCTACGTATACTTTGTTACAATGATTACAGCTTATTTTATATACACCTGGTTTACCTAAAACATTAACTGGGTCTTTAGTGGATCCTAACAATGATTTCAACTAATATTGCCTACTGGTGAAAACTAAATCTAATCCGAATTGTTTTAACTGTGGTCTTAGTTTACAAGTAATAAAGGGCGAACACGAAATTATTGCGACACATTCAACAGGGCATAACTTTTTTACCATTGGGTAAAAATCAACCAAATTTTGCACACTTTCTCATTGATGTGTATTGTGTACATGCTGTCAAACTCGAAGTCGTGTTTTTCGATTCAACGAAAATGGAGGTGAACCAACGCGAGTTGAGAGAACCAATTCTTTCCAAACACCTGGAATTTCCTGACCTGTCGCACCGGCAGTTGGGAAAAATGTTGAACATTCACCATTCAACCGTCTCCAGAGTGTTGAAGCGGTTCCAGGAGCGGTTGACGTTGGACCACGGCAAAGGAGCTGAAAGAAAACCGGGACCGGAGAACAAAAAGACGGAGGGAAAGGTGAAGCGGATGATTAAAGCGAATCCCAACGTCTCAAGCCGTGATTTGGCTAAAAAGATCGGCATGTCGCAGAGCTACGTCCAGAATGCAAAGAAGAGAGCTGGACTACATACATACAAGGTACAGAACTTCCCAAACCGCGATGAGCGGCAACAATCGACGGCTAAAGCTCGGGCACGGAAGCTCTACGAGAAGATGCTGACAAAATATGGCTGCAAAATAAGCCGATTTTAAGCAAATTCCGGGGTTGGAGTTTTTCACCGGCAAGAGCAAGTTCGATGTGGACGACAAATTTAAGAAGAAGAAAATGTCGAAGTTCGCCTCCAAATATCTCATTTGGCAGGCCATCTGCTCTTGCGGACTGAGGAGTGAGCCTTTCGGGACAAAGGGCACAGTAAATGGCGAGATCTACAAATCTGAGTGCCTCGAGAAGCACCTTTTGCCGTTCTTGCAGCAGCACGACGAAGCTCCGCTATTTTGGTCAGATTTGGCATCATGCCACTATTCTAAAAGTGTCCTGGAGTGGTATGTCGGTTTTTTGTTCCAAAGGACATGAATCCGCCAAACTGTCCGGAGCTGCGCCCGGTGGAGCAGTACTGGGCAATAATGAAGCGGGAACTTCGGAAGAGCAAGAAGACAGTCAAAGACGAGAAAGACATGTTAAGAAAATGGAAAAAACTGAGAAACTGGTACCGGATGACACTGTAAAGACTTTGATGGAGGGCATTAAGCGAAAATGCGTTCAATTTTACACTCAAGGCTCCATCGATTAACTTTTCTTTTGATTTTTGAAGTAAATATATGTATAAAACTACCCTAAAATTTTGGTTTGATTCTAAACATTATATGAAAATTGGCATGACATTTTCGGTGTAGCAATAATTTCGTGTTCGCCCTTTATTGTAGGATTTGCTAGTATTTTTTACTAAAACCGATGGCCACGAATTCCAATCTGGCGGTGGATATCGAGTTTTGACCTCTACACGTCGTTCTGAAAATACCTATATTGTTGGGTATTTGACAGTATCTATAAAAACAAAGACTCCCATCTTGGATTCTAAAATGGCATCCAACATCGATTTTCGGCCTCTACACGTAACCCCTGTTCAGAAAATACTCATCGTGCACAGTAACATAACAAATGAGGTAGGCTTTGAGACATAGCATATTCAGGAAGTTCTGAGCTAATATGAACACCATCCAAAAAGACTTGGTCAACTGAACAGCTTTGTTCAAGACGGCAACTTTCTATATGACCATGATCACGAGATATTCTATTTTAGCAGATTCGTAGAAAAATTTCGAACTGATTGGTTTATCTAGAATTACAATCCATCCGCTATTGACAGAGTTATAAGTGGTCAAAACTTGACCACTTTTTGCAACGCAGTCGATTTTGTATATTTGAAATTGCACCCCCAATATGTAGCCGAAAGACGTAATCCTACGTCAAAAAATCAGCCCTTTTCAAATGGTGGTCAAGATTTTATTTGTTGTATGCAAGTATGCAATGTTTCTTAATTAAAATATATCTCTTTACATCCACAAAAATTGCATGGAAGTCTGAGAGGGTGCTGCCAACCATTTGTCAAGTTGGCGTGAAGTTCGTCTGTATTTGAATGGAGTGTTCGTCTGTGCACATAATTAATTTTTGGATCTCGGCTTTGCAGTTCTATAATACTCAAATCAGAATGAAATTCTTGTGGTTCGTCGCTACGTTTCGACTCTGCTTAGGGCTGTCTTCAGGGGAAGCTGGGGGAAGTATGTATTGTTATAATCTTCGTTAGGTTTACATATTTTCTGTACTTACAATTTAGTAATTCCACAGCAAAAAATTAATTTTGATATCTCATCAAAGAGGATGCACACTTCAATATAAAATATGGTGTAATATTACTTAACAAAAAGGACAAAATGAACATGAACTGAAATTTCGATGCTTTAACTAGATTTGTTTAATTTTGTGGCCTTAAAAATTACATGAGATTTCGACATGATTGAAGTGCCTGCTCTTGGATGTAACACTAAAATTTATTTTTTGCTGTGTCGTTCTTTGTGGAACTATAACAATTTCGTTCCAATTTGAGGATTATAAGACTGCAAAGCCGAAACCCAAAACTAAAAATAATATGTTATATTCTAATCATGAGCTTTCTAGACCTACCAAAACAACCTTTGTACTTGAATGTGTTTATGATTTCTAAACACCATCGAACAATCTGGAAATCAATCCCGTATTAGCTCACGGCTATCGAGCTGCTTAGCCATAAATTGAGCACAGTTCCGTAGTAGTATGAAAGTTCAAGTACCTTTTGAATAACCAGATACCCTTGATTTAAAACCGAGGTCTTTAGTGAAATCACTATCGGAAGCGCTCTACGTTCTGCAAATAGTTCAAAGATAAGAACGAACTTGTCAGTGAATCTCGTCGGTATGATGGATTTAGTTAATCTACACTGATGGATTGATAAGAGATAATGGCTTTTTTTCAAATTCGAACAAAACTCGTGAATTGATCTCAGTTTGCTTCAAACCGTGACTGCAAATCGATCCCACCAGAAACATGCGGATTCCAGTCATTCTACTCTGTGTAGTTGCAAACCTCTATCTAACCGGAGCATTTGTCCTACCCGACGACCGCAGTCTGCACGTTGAAGATGTGGATGGCAAGCTGAGTACCATCGAACTGGCTACGAAATATGGCTATCGAATCGAAACGCACGAAGTGCAAACCGAAGATGGTTACCTATTGGAACTGCACCGCATAACCAGAAGTGGATCCACGATGTACGACCGGAAGCTTCCACCGGTGCTGCTGATGCACGGTGTGTTCGCATCGTCTGCAGATTGGGTGCTGCTCGGACCGGGAAATGCCCTGGCTTATCTGCTCAGCGACATGGGGTACGACGTGTGGCTTGGGAACGCTAGAGGAAATCGTTACTCCCGGAAGCATATCAGCTATACACCTGATATGAACCAGTTTTGGGATTTCTCATGGCATGAAATCGGAATCTATGACCTTCCGGCTATCGTGGACTATGCCCTGAATGTGACCGTGAAGGAGAAGCTGCACTACATCGGTCATTCCCAGGGGACGACGGTGTTCTTCGTTATGTGCTCGGAGCGACCGGAGTTTAATGAAAAGTTCGTGTTGGCCCAGGAATTAGCACCGGTGGCCTATATGGAACATATGAACAGCCCGTTGTTGAAGGTTGTGGTAAAGCACTTGGGTGTAATTTCTGTAAGTAAAATATGTGAGTGTTTTTGAAGACCCAGAAGATATGATCTATGTGAATGATTTTCAGACAATCGTAGACCTTTTCGGTTTGGGAGAATTCAAACCTATTCCGGCAGTGATTCTCGAAGTTGCTGAGCACCTATGTCCTGAATCACAAAGTAATAACCTCTGTGTGAACTTGCTTTTCCAGTTGACCGGTGCTAATCCGGATCAAGTTGAACCGGTAAGATTATGATAAATTTGATGTTTCGATCGCGATATCGATAATTATCTTTGCCAGAAAATGATTCCCATCCTACTGGGTCACATACCGGCGGGATCAGCCACCAAGCAGCTCATTCACTTCGGGCAAGAAGTGCAATCGGCACAGTTCCGTCAGTTTGACTACGGGAAGCTGAAGAACATCTTCGTGTACAATCAAACGGAACCACCGGCGTACAACCTTACCTATGTGACTGCACCGGTCATTCTACACTACGGTGCAAATGATTACCTCACCCATCAGAAGGATGTGCAGCGATTGGCTAAACAGTTGCCCAATCTGATCGAGAATCATCTGATAGAGATGAAACTGTTCAATCATTTAGATTTCTTAATAGCAAAAGATGCGAAGCAATTGTTGTATGAAACAATTATCGGCAATATCGAGAATTATAACAATGAGCTGTAATGTTATGAATCGGTTCAATGTTACTTGTGTGGTTAGTAAATGCGTTTCCTCATCCCACTTATTTTTTATGGGGTCGGTACAGATAAACAGAAAAGACCCTAATCAAACTCGCAGTACGTACAGTGCTTTCTATCAATCACAACCATACATTGCAGTCGCTTTTCATCAAACATCAAGCCACGCGAAGTGCTACTTGGACTCTGACCACACACTGCATACACTTTGTTACCATTTCTCCGCGTAACAGGAAGTCTGCCGAGATGAAAATGAGCGTTTTGGTATGGCCTTTTCCCGCCTGCGCACCCGACTTGATGCATTATAGAGGAGTGCAACCGGCTTTTGGCACACGGCAGTAGCATACACAAACCGCCGCGAAGCACGAGAAGAAAAATTATGCTGATATTAAAGCGACTAATTGCCATGCTCGGAAGGGCTGGGCCCCCACGTTTGCGGGTCGGTTTCGTTGGTTTGTACAAGTGAAAGAACTAAATTATATGCCAAGATCGTTCGGGTGAGATCAACGGGTATGTGTTCTCCGCCGATCGATAGCAATCTATTCAAACTTTGTTGCCCACTTGCTAATGGCAAGGAATGGAGGCATTTTTTTCCCCCTAATGATACCGACCTGGAATGGGGCTTCAAATTTCACATATAGGGCATATTATTAAATAATAGCACGAAGCGACGATTTCGCGGAAATTAGATCAATGTGTGGTCGACATTTCGAGGAGAAGTCTTAGCTTCTGCAACAAACTAAGCCCTCTGTTGGATGACCTCAATTGCTAAATGGATGGGAAGCTTTTACCGTTTCGCCCGGCGGAAAACGCAAAGTGAGGGACAGTAACAAAATGGTTCACACCTTCTCTCAATCGCGTCCAGCTCGTTGTGTGGCTGGAGAAGGTGACTGGTGCGGGTACTTGACAGATGTAATTCAGTAAGGGTCTGTTACAACAGCAAACTCAATGAGCGGGCGCACAGCTGACCTGCTTGACGAAACACAAAAGATTTAAGTAGGTACCACAGCGGCGAGGCACTCTTCTATTGACACCAACGTCGATGGAAATTAGCAAACTGGAGCCATCTGAGCCACCCGAGCGACCTGACGGTGGCCGTGTAATCGAGAACCCATTGAGTGCTGTTGAAAACTGAAAGTGAGCTACATAGATGTGCAATGTGAATGTGAAGGCTTGCTGGGGTGGGAATATAATGAAGTTAGTCAAGTGGGTGCACTATCCGTTTGCTTTTGCTGATTTACTAACATTAGAACAATGCAGTAGAAAGGTGCACTTGAAAGCTGTTTTGGTCAATGCGCCCATATATGTGGACATCATCGGTTCCAAGGCTCAGAGAAAATGTTGATTTAAATAGAATTGCATTTTGTCGTAAATCCAGTCAGGTTTTCGAAAATATCAACACACTTTTGGTCCACAAAATGATTAAAGAGTTATTTTGGATGGCTTTTCTTTGGTTCAATTTTTCAGTGATAATTGTCAGAAAATCAAGAATGCAAACTGTGTGCCGCTACTGTTACACAGCACGCCTGTCCCCTTGCCGAGAAGCGAGCTTGTTAACAGCATCGACTGTTAACTCTTCGATCATTATACATACATCAGTTTTGTATTGTTTTGGTTGGTTGGTTGGTTGTCTTTATTAAGGAGATTTTCAGTCAGACGCTGATTTATCTCCGATATGTATTGTTTTAGATGGATTGGGATTCCCATGGGATTTTTTTTTCAAAAATAAATCATTTTATGCAATATCTCGAACTGTCAAAACAAAAGCTCGCAGTGACAAAAGGTCAATTGGGCAAAAAGTCTAATGGACAAAAGGTTGATTTGAACTTAGAGGGACAAAACGTTGAATTGAACTTAGAGGGACAAATGACCGAAGGGACAAAGGCCTTCCATTAATTTTGTTAAAGAAATGTTTTTCAGTCCGCATCGTGCTCTCTTGCCGTGCGGATCTATTTGCTTTTTGTTGAAGGAAGTGTTACTACTACCTAAAGCTACAACAAATTTAAACAGCACTTTTCAGTGCTCAACCTGTAAAAAATTTCTACCTTGTTCAACTCTTATTCCTCTTCGATCCTTGTTTGGACCCTACCCGAGGTAATCCTTCTTGGATATCGATTTGGAAAATTCCTCTTCGATCCTTCAGATTCTTATAGTAATCTGCTTGGAAGTCGATTTGGATAAAAATATACTGCCGCCATGGCGCCTAAACGCAAAAGAAAGGGGCAAACTCTTGACCCCCCTTCTGATGAAATTAATTTGAGTAATCAATTTGATTTGCTCACGGATGATGAGAATGATCCATCATCCAAGAAAAATTCTAGTAAACTCTTAATGCCAAGAAGGAAAAGATTCCCTCTATTGTGATAACCACTTCCGATTTCCATGCTCTTCGCATGGAACTTATGAATTTCGTGAAACTTAAGTTTTCACTACAAATTGGACGTCGGGGTGAATGCCGTGTATTGGCTGAAACCTTGGACGGATTTAAATGTCTTCTCAAGTATCTTACTGAGAAGAAGCACAAATGTTTTACTTACGACAGCAAAACTGAACGTGTGTTCAAGGTTGTCATGAAAGGACTGCCCAGTGGTGAATCCCTGGATCAGATCAAAGATGAACTGGCAAAATTACTTGGAGTTGGAAAATGAAATCCCGTCCTGGCGATTCGCGCAACGGGATTTCTAATGATTTTTATTTAGTTCACTTCAAGTCTCGTGAACTAAACAACCTTAAGGCCTTAGAAAAAGCTAGCCTTATGCTCCATGTCCGAGTGAAGTGGAAACACTTCAGGAAGACTGGAGGAAATTTCCAAAACCTCACTCAGTGCCGTAAGTGCCAGGGATGGGGTCACGGAACTAAAAATTGATACATGCCAGCTAAATGCATGAATTGTGGTGATTCCTCTCACGCAAAGGACGACTGTCCTGTGAAGGAAGATCCTAAGAAATTTAAATGTTCAAATTGTGGTGAAAACAACAAATCCAATTTTTGGGAATGTAAGACTCGCAAAGCGATCCTACAATCTCGTTCTAACCGTCAGGTAGGAAACGCTCCACGTTTCCGACCAGGTACAAATTCCTCTGCTGTTAACAACGGTCAGCTAGGAACAAATTCTACATTCGTACCCGTAGTCACAAATATCACCCCTGCTTCAAATTTCTCATCTGTACCTACTCCCTTAGCTGCTAAAAATGTTCAGCAAGTTAATGGAGCTACCTATGCTGCTATTGCAGCTGGTAGAAATCAAAATGCTAACCAACGTAATTCTAACGGAAATTATGACAATTTTGACTTAGGAAGCATTACTGCCCCTAAAATGGAATTTTTACAGAAATCATTAATTGACATGATTTCTGATATGCTTGAATCTAACTCCATGTTTGATGCTATTCAAACTGGAATAAAATTTGCAAATAATATTGTCATGTCATGACTTGAAAATTCAGTAATGGATTTTAAAGCATTAAATATTTAAATTGGAATGCTCGATCTCTTAAAGATAATGAAGACGAGCTATTTCTCTTTTTGAGAGTTCATAACGTGCATATTGCCGTTATAACTGAAACGTTCCTTAAACCTGACCGTAAGATTAAGAAGGACGCAAATTATTTCATTTATAGAAATGATCGTCTTGATAAACCCTGTGGTGGCGTTGCCATCATTGTTCATAGACGAATAAAACATAAAATTCTTTCTCCATTTGAAACCAAAGTTTTTGAAACTTTGGGAGTTTCTGTTGAAGCAAAATTTGGACAACTTACGTTTATAGCTGCCTACTTGCCATTCCAATGCGTAGGCCAACAAAAGAATTTCCGCAAGGGTGACCTTCAGAAACTTACCCGTCATAGATCTAAATTCTTCATTATTGGTGATTTTAATGCAAAACACCGCTCATGGAATAATGCTCAAAGCAATTCCAATGGTAATATTTTGTTTGATGATTGTTCTGCAGGTTATTACACTATTCAATATCCAAACAGCCCAACATGCTTTTCTTCTGCAAGAAATCCCTCCACTATTGATTTGGTCTTAACTGATTCATGTCAACTTTGTAGCCAATTGGTTACCCATGCTGACTTCGGTTCTGATCACCTTCCATTAACTTTTGAAATATCCCAAGAAATAATTTCTAATCCCAACAGCTCTACTTTCAATTACCACAGAGCTGATTGGGACCAATATCGTACATTTATGGAATATAACTTCGATCCAAACATTCCTTTGCAAACCAAAGATGAAATTAATTATGCTCTTGAATCTCTGACTACGTCTATAGTTGAAGCAAGAGCTGCCTCGGTACCAAAATGCGAGGTTAAATTCGATTCAATTATAATAGACGACGATCTTCAGCTCTTGATCCGTCTTAAAAATGTCCGTAGGAGACAATATCAAAGAACACGCGACCCTGTCATGAAAGTTAACTGGCGGGATTTGCAAAAGCAAATTAAAAAGCGATTCTCTGCCCTGAGGAACAAAACTTTTGAAAATAATGTTTCTAAATTAGACCCAAGTTCCAAACCCTTTTGGAAACTCACAAAAATTTTGAAAAAAACTTCAAAAGCCAATTCCAGCGCTTAAAGAAGGTGGTAAAATTTTGATCACAAATTTGGAAAAAGCTCAGAAACTTGCTAAGCAATTCGAGAGTTCCCATAATTTCAGTTTGGGTCTTACTAGTCCTATTGAGAATCAGGTTGCTCGGCATTTTCTGAATATTTTCTCTCGGGAAAATATTTTTGATGATTCCTGGGGGACTGATTTGGACGAAGCAAGATCTATAACTAAAAAGTTTCAAAATATGAAAGCTCCAGGTGATGATGGAATTTTCTATATCCTCATCAAAAAACTCCCAGAGAGTCTGTCTTGGTAAAATTATTTAACAGATGTTTCCATTTGGCATACTTTCCTGATAAATGGAAAAATGCAAAAGTTGTTCCAATTTTGAAGCCGGATAAAAATCCAGTTGACGCTTCCGTCCAATAAGT